AATTTCCCCAAGATCCTCACTGCAAACCAGGAAAGGCCATAAAGAAATGGCTCCCTTTGGGGGGGTGCTTGATATTTTTCCCATTTGGAAATTGCTGGTCGTTCTTGGTTGCATTTATTGTCATAAGGACAAACCCTCCTGAGGGTATATGCCTTTATTTTAGTGAAGGACAGGTTGAAGGTAATCTCTTGGGGAGACAGCAGAAAATAGAATTTGCAAGTGTTGGAAGAAACGTCCCTCTGGGTTCAGTTCCAAGTGGGGAAAAAGAGACCGGAAACAAGGAGGCTGTTTGGAAAGATGGTTTAATGGTGGACAGGACCACATGGTTTGAGGTCCTGGGCAATTGAACACATGGGAGAGAGAGAGAGAGGGAGGGAGGGAGACAGAGAGTGGGGGAGAGAACGGAGGGAGAAAGAGAGAGAATTATACCCTCTCTTGGGCTTTGACCTTGAGCTTCCTGTTCCTGTGGCAAGGGCTTGTATTTTGATTGGTCGTCAGACTCCCATGGGGTCATGCAGGAGTAACTTTTGTAGGTTGTCTTGAGTCCCAGGTTTGGTTGAATCTTGCAGAGCGATGCAATCTTCCTAGGTGCCATGTGGCGAGATGGGTAGAGGGCTAATCCTATTATGTCTTGAGGGTGAAAATGTTTTTGTTTTGTAGATAAGCTGGCCCAGTCTTTTGTCTTGTTAGATAGATTGGCACCAAAATATCTGCTGGGGGTGGGTCAGGGAGCTGAGGCTCTGAGTTTATGTCTTTAGAAATATGTTTCTCCTTTAGGGAAAATATAATATTCTGCCTCTTTAATATTTCCTAGAATATTTCATTCTTCTAAGAGAAGGGTGGGTGCTAGCTTTCTACAGAAGTATGATTTTCAAATCAGTACTTCTTCTGAAATCATACAAATTAATCCCATGTAGTCAGATCCATTCTCCTTATACCATGTTTTCCCCAAAATAAGACCTATCCCGAAAATAAATCTTAGACTGATTTTTAAGCATGTGCCTAATATAAGCTCTACCCCCCAAAATAAGCCCTAGTGAAGATCATCATCAGACCGGGGGGGGGGGGGAGAGGCATGGCCAGCACAGGAGGCAGCGAGCAGGCAGGGACCGGTGGAGAGAATCAGCCCAGTAGTAGCAGCATTCCCGTCAGCCCCACACTCACCACTTCCTGTATGTGAAAAAAAAGACACCCCCACAAAATAAACCCTGGTGCTTATTTGCCCCCCAAAATATAAGACCGGGTCTTATTTTCGGAGAAACGTGATGTCTTTGCCCAAAATTATTTTCACCCTAGAAATAGCAGTTGTCCATTTCAGAGGGAAAGTCAAATAATTCTTATATCTGGAGGGTTTTTTTCCCCCCTCTACTTCCTGTTTTTTTTTTCAAACTTAAGAGATTTGTTTTGGGGTTGGGAACAACAGTGTATGGGGAAAAGAATTGTACTTTCTCTTTGACTGTGGTCTTGTTAAAAAGAAATTCCCACCCGTAAGATGCTAAGAAAACCTGAGTCAGCACTAACTTGATTTCAGCTGGGCTTCGGGGATGAAAAGAAGAACACGCTTTGATTTGAGGTTGGCTGTTTGAAATTCAAAGGTAATCTGATTTGATTTGATCTGATGTGCTTTGGGATTCAGCTGGAGGGGGAAAATTGGTCCCTAGGCTATAAAGAGAGAACATCAAATCTGTATCGGCTTCATTTATGTTGGCAGAGGTAGATGAAAGCTGTAAAAATCCTATAAAGGACATCAATGATGCCAAAACTCAGCTCAATATCTCCAAGGCTCTGTAGGATTGTTTCTTTTAAGGAAATAAAATAGCACAGTGATCTCCAAATTGTCTAACAAATATTTTTTGGACATAAATCCTCTATTGAAGGATTTCATGCGAACATAAACATATATTTTCCAAAAGCATCCAACAAGTAAGCTCCTGGTTTTCTTCTCTTTTATCTGAGTTGCTGTGTTAAGATGATCCTGAAGAATCCTAAAGGTACTTAGATACAGATTAACAGAGTTGAAAGGGACATTGTAGGTCATCTAGTCCAACCCTCCACACAAGGAGACCCTACACTATTTCTGACAGAGGGCAGTCCAGTCTCTTCTCGAAAGTTTCCAGGGATGAAGCTACCACAACTTCTGAAGGCAACTTCTGTTCCACAGGTTGATTGCTTTCACTGTCAGAAAATTTTTCCTTATTTCCAGGGTGAATCTCTCCTTGTTCAGTTTCCATCCATTATTCCTTGTCTGGCCTAGAGGCACTTTAGAAAATAGCTTGGCCCCCTCCTCTCTGTGGCAGCCCATCAAATGCTGGAAGACTGCTCTCCTGTCTCTCCTGGTCCTTCTCTTCACTAGACTAGCCAGGCCCAGTTCCTGCAGTTCCTGTTCTTCATATGTTTTAGTCTCCAGTCCCCTCGTCATCCTGGTTGTTCTTCTCTGCACTTGTTCCATAGCCTCAACATCTTTTTTATAGTGTGGTGACCAAAACTGGATGCTTTACTCTAGCTGTGGCCTTACTAAGGCTTTATAGAGTGGTATTAACACCTCCCTGAATCTCGACTGTATCCCTCTGTTAATGCAATTTAGGATTGCATTAGCTTTTTTGGCTGCTGCTGCACACACTGCTGGCTCGTATTCAGCTGGTTGTCCACTAAGATTCTAAGATCCCTCTCACAGTTACTGCTATTAAGCCTGGTTTCACTCAGTCTATATGTGTCCTTTTGGTTTTTCTTGCCTAAGTGTAAGACTTTACATTTCTCTATATTGAATTTCATTTTGTTAGCACTTTTTTTCCCAAAAGGCAACTGTATTTCCTTAATTTTTTTCCTTGAAGACATTTCACTTCCCATCCAAGAAGCTCCTTCAGTTCTGCTTCAAAATTCCCCACCATTCCGTCAGAACTGAAGAAGCTTCTCGGATGAGTAGGGAAACATCTTCAAGGCAAAACCAAGGAAGTCCAGTTGCCTCTTGAAAAAAAGCAACTTTGAGAGCCACCGTGACCTCGATGAGTGAGAATCTTCATAGATGTTGAGTTGAAATTCTGTGGTTTTTCAGAGAACAGTCAAGATTTCCCTGCAGATTTCTGATGGGTATCATGGAAGGAAGGAAGTTAAACATTCATTCATGGTCCCAACTAAAAAATCTTTTCTGTTAAGATGTCAGATTCATCTTTATCCTAATTTAGCATTCAGAGGTAAGAGATGGTAGGGGTTTTCCACACCCACATACACACCTGTAATAGGTTAGACACCACAGAAGTTTTGAATTATGTGCTAAACACACTTTTACTATTAAAAAGGGCAGTTGTTTCAAATCTGAACCAATTGTCTCTGCTTTCCTTCGTTCAGTACATCCACTTCCCTTTTGTCTCTCATTCCACCCACACAGAGTTGCAGCATTTAACGAGTGACTTAATTTGTTTTATTTTGCAATTTAAGTACAATGATTCAAGGGGAACTCTTGGGCTTTTCTTTGTAGGAGATGACCAGGCTGAGCCAGAGGGAGGGATCAAATGTGTCATCAGTCATGAGTCCCTGAATGTCTGCAAGAGATGAAGAGAATAGAATAGAGAATAAAGAATTAGAATAGAATAGAATGGAATGGAATGGAATCGAGAATCGAGAATCGAGAATTAGAATAGAATCGAGAATTAGAATAGAATCGAGAATTAGAATAGAATAGAGAAATAGAATAGAATAGTAGAATAAGAATCAAGAATTAGAATAGAATAGAAAATTAGAAAATAATAGAATAGAGAATTAGAATAGAATAGAATCAAGAATCAAGAATTAGAATAAAATAAAATAGAATAGAGAATAGAGAATTAGAATAGGACAGAACAGAATGTAGAATACAATATAGAATTGAATAGAAAATAGAATAGAATCTAGAACAGAACAGAACATATAATACAATATAGACTAGAATAGAATAACTAGAATAGAATATAGAACAGAATATAGAATATAATATAATAGAACAGAGGAAAAGTGAATAGAACAGAACAAAATAGAACAGAACAGAATAGAACAGAACAGAATAGAACAGAACAGAACAGAATGCAGAATAGAATGCAGAATAGAATGGAATGGAATACAGAGTTGGAAGGGACCTTGGAGGTCTTCTAGTCCAACCCACTGCTCAGGCAGGAAGCCCTAGACCATTTCAGACAAATGGTTGTTCAATCTCTTCTTAAAAACTTCCAGTGTTGGAGTATTTACAGCCCACTGTGAATGCCTTTCTTATCTGCCGCTCATTCCCCTGTTAGTTGGCAAGATTCTTGCGGAGGGCTTAATCTTAAATCATTATACTCAATTGGACTGTCTGACTTTCCTGGTTTCTCCTGTACTTGACATTTGCAGTACAAGCTTTTCTCCCTCTCCCTGGAAAACCTACAAACTGCAGTCTAAAATACAAATTACCTGTTCCCAGGTGCCAGTGAGAGTAAAACACTTCTTGAGTCATGTTATTAATGTTACAACTTACGAACACAATGGAGATCAGAATCCTCATTGTAATATTTATATAGGTAGTCCTCGGCTTACAATAGTTCATTTAGTGACCTTTCGAAGTTAAAACGGCGCTGAAAAAAGTGATTTAGGACCGTTTTTCATGCTAATGACCTTTGTAGCATCCTCATGGTCACATGATCAAAACTGAGATGCTTGACAAATAGTTCATACTTATGACAGTTGCAGTGTCCCGAGGGGGTCATGCCATCCCCTTTTGCGACCTTCTGACAAGCAAAGTCAACGGGGAAGCCAGATTCACTTAAAAACCATGTGACCCACTTAACAAATGCAATGATCCACTTAACCTACGGTGGCAAGGAAAGTCATAACGTGGCACAAAAATCCCTGAACACATGTCTCACTAAGCAGCATAGGTTTTGGGCTCAATGGTGGTCGTAACTCAAGGACTCCCTGTATATAGTTGTCCTTATCAGGTTGGCTTTCTTGGAACGATGGAATTAGACGGGTGTGTTTGTCATTTCCTTCTGCAGAAAACAAAGGGAAAAGAAATCCCCTCCATGACTACCAGAAAACAGTCGATACCTCATTAGTAAGGATAGACAAGGCACTGAAAGTGAAAACGAAGCTGCTAAATACGACAGAACAGTGTGCCAAGAGATGCAGCCGAAGTAAAGGACTTTTATTCATTTGCAGGTAAGGAATGTTGCATTTTTTTGGGGGGGGGAATCTAATGGTTCTGCTTTTTGTTGTGGTTCACTGGCAGCCTGTGGAGATGGCAGCAGAGTCAGACAGTGTGGAGGAACATGGGCCAGTATGGGAGTCTGGGGAGGACTCGGATGAGGGTCCTGCATCTGATGCAGGGATGGGGCCAGGGCCATCTGGGAGTTATGTGCTGACTCCGGAGCCTTCAGAATCTGGCAGGAGCGAGGAAGAGGAATAAAGGGAGCCTGTTCCCAGTGTGTACTTGCGCAGAGCTGCTAGAAGGCAAGAACAGCTAAGACAACAGGGGCAATTCTCCTTATCACAAGACCCACCAGAAGACTCTCACTGATGACTCACATCTGGCCCATCGCAAGACCCTCACTTGACACACCCACACCTGAAGCTTGACATGACCCACTACAAGACCTGCCACAAGACCCTCACTTGATGTGACCCACACCTGACCTATCGTAAGACCATCACTTGATGTGACCAACACAAGACCCATCGCTAGATTCTCACTTATTGTCAGCATTCCAACTAACCAACTTCATACCAATAAACTCTGAGACATCAATCAGTCCCTCAAAGTTCCATTTTATCAGAGTTGGCACATCTGGGAAAACCCAAATCTGATAGTTCCGGGTTTTCCCTTCCCCAAAGAGAAATCAAAGATCCATCCCCTGCGCCCATTAGTCAATCACATGGCCCAATCAAATCTTTGTCCCAACTGGAGACATCCCTCCAGTCACTCTCCTCCAGGTGCAGGGCAACATGTCCTTGACTTTCTGAGAAAGAGTGTTGTTGTGTCTCATCTTATACCCCACTGTGAAATTCCCCCCTCCCAAATTCCCAGACACTGAATGTGGCAGCCTCAAAGCTTCCAAGTAAAATATGGCTTCCAAACCTGACACTTGATATGATCCTCCTATCACAAAACATACTCATTGCATGAAGCTCTTATAAGCAGAAGAACACTGACATCCCCTAAACTCCAATGAAGATGTTACCTAGCTTGGTATGTTCAGAAATCAACCCACAAGCTTGGAGAACAAACTTCCACCCTCAAAGCTATCTTGTGTGTGTGTGTGTGTGTGTGTGTGTGTGTTTGTGTGTGTGTGTAGTGGGACAACTCTTGGATTTTCAAGATCTCAGAGCAACATTTGTTCCCTTGCATGGAGTGTTGGAAATGTTGGGTTTTCAAGTGTTTCGTGGTAAAAATGAAAACGAAGCGCATAGCTTTGTTCTGAAAAAAGAATCCACTGGAAGTTAACAAAATCTCTCTGCTTATAGTATTGACTTCATGAGGGGGTGGATAAAAAGCTTGAGATTCTCCAACTTTCTTGAGTATGACAGATTCTGGGCTACATCTAGAAGTTGTTTGTGATGTAACTGATACTTAATTGGTTGAGACTCCAGAGAAGTGAAGAATAATAAGACTCTACCAATTGTTGGTAACATTTTCTACTCCCACACAGCTTACGCTTGTGCAGAATTTCTTAAAAAAAAAAAAAAACCTATTTCCTTTCCATATAATCATTTTTGGAATCAAACTCAAAACTCCTGATGATAAATCACTACAACCTCCCCTGCTCATAAATTATATTCTCATCAGCACAGTCCTTCCTACTGGGTCCAGCTGGACAGAAGCCCAACAAAAAAGCTTGTTTACATTCTTCAAGTTGTGTTTTCTCAGTCTATTAGGTGCAACATCTTTTATTCAAAGAAAGTAGGCTTCAGGCCGCTATCATCAGCTGAGCAAAGCAATGATGGATCTGGAATTTCTTGGCCTACCATAACTTTTCCAGATATTTTGAACACAGCAAAATCTTATTGGCCTAGTAAGATCCTACATTTATCTGCATCAGACTTGACTCTCAATGAAAATGCTAATCTTCTTGAGTCAAGAGGAAGAGGGAGAAGGGGGAGAAGGGAGAAAGGAGGAGGAGGAGAAAAGAGAAGTGGAAGAGGAAAAGGAAAAGGAAGAAGAGGGAGAAGGGAGAGAAGAGAAAAAGGAGGAGAGAAGAGAAGAGATGGAAGAAGAAGAGAAAGAGGAGGAGGAAGAAGGAGAAGAGAAGGAGGAAGAGGAGGAGAAGAGGAAGAAGAAGAGGAAGAAGAAGAAGAGGAAGAAGAGGTAGAAGAAGAGGAGGAAAAGGAAGAAGAGGAAGAAGAAGAGGAGGAAAAGGAAGAAGACTTTATGTGAAGTTAACTTACTTTCATCTAGTCTCTTGAGATTTTCTCCCCTCTAGTTATGGTGGTAATGAAAACCATATATTCCTGTAGAAGTTAACTCTGCAATTTATTTTATTTTCTATCCAGGGCTTTTGCATTTGACAAAACAGCCAAACGTTGCCATTGGTTATCTTTTACTAGCCTAGAAAATGGAGTCAGGAAAAAACATGACAACACATTCATTCTCTATGAAAAGAAAGGTATGTAAGTGGCTAACTTGGATGCTACAGAGCTAAGACAATTTTTTTTTGTTGGACAAGAGTTTCATGTAATTATGCAAAGCAGGTGGTACTGTGGGCTATGGATAAAGTGGAAGGGGAGGAAGGTTTTCCTTGTCCCCATGGAAGCTTATTTGATTCCACTCTTAGAACAGACTATTTGTCGCTCAGGGTTGAACGGTGGGGTCTTTGGTGCTCTCTAAGCTTGACTGTTTTCTTGAAGATGTTTCCTTATCCACCATGGTGACAACTTCAGTGGGAGGAGGAGGAGGAAGGGAGGAGGAGAGAAGAGAGGAGGAGGAGGAAGGGAGGAGGAGAGAAGAGAGGAGGAGGAGGTGGAGGAAGAGGAGGAGGACAGGAGAAGGAAACAGGAGAGAGGAGGAGAGGAAAACAGGAGGAGGAGGGGAGGAGAGAGGAGAGAAGAGGGGAGGAGAAAGAGAAGGAGGAGAGAGGAGGAAGAAACAGAGAGGAGGGAGGGGGAGGAGGAAGAAGAGGAGGAGAAGGACTGTGGGGTCCTTGGTGCTCTCTAAGCTTGGTTGTTTTCTTGCAGACGTTTCATAACCCAACTAGGTAACCTTATCAGAAATTGATTGAAACAGACATTTCAAGGCATCGATCACCTGTTAAATTTGTATACCTGCTCTTCAGAAAACGTTCACCTTCTTTTTGGCTTTGTTTTCGTTGATTCTAACAGACTACGTTCGAAACTGCATTATTGGGAAAGGAGCAACGTACAAGGGAAACATATCAGTCACAAAAAGCGGGATTGAATGCCAAGCCTGGAATTCGACCATACCTCACGAACACAGGTAAGATTGGTGGGATCAACCCTGCCTTTTCCAACAATGATGGTTCTTTGAATGGCCAAATCCATGGAAGATGATCCTAGGTGCCTGCTGGGAGGATGGCTGTAAAAAGTCAAGAGGGTGATCCCTTGATGGCTGCCATCTTCTTCCCTTTTTGGGGTTCCTCTATGGTTGTGTTGAAGTGTGATAGAAAGCTGACTAACACATGTTTCATGGCATGAGAACAGGAACATACAAGAAGTCCTTGACTTGAACCATTCATTGAAGTTACCATAACAGAGTGGTGTGGTGGCCTAGTAGTTGGAGCTCTCGCCTCATGATCAGGAGGCTGTGAGTTCAATCCTAGGCAGAGGCAGATATTTTTCTCTGTGTGCATGTTGAGAATATATCTGCTGAATATAACTCTGCATTGGCAACAGGAAAGGCATCCGGCCATTAAACACTCAGCTCCATTCAGTTGCCCAGACTCCACCCAGCAAGGGATTATGGGGTCATTAAAAGGTAATGATTGAAGTTACAACAATACTGGAAAAGATGACTTATAATTGGTCCTTGGTGCTTCAGATGAATTTATTACAATTTTTTTTTTCTGGGCAAGGCTGAAGGAGGATAGTACATTTATGATAATCTAGGTGTTTGCTACAAACTTGAAGTGAGAGCTTATCTTTCCTAGCCTGGAAGATTTTGCTCAGATGTGGAGAAGGATATTCCCCTAATCCAGATAGTCCTCTTCTTATGACCACAATTGAGCTAAACTGACTGAGATTAGATGTTATTTGGGAGTGAAATTCCCTTACCCCTATTGCATGGCAGTAGGACTCATCCAACTTCATTAGAAATATTTTTCTAAATAGTGTCAATTTGATAATATAAAGTAATTATTACGATACCTTCTGCCTATCAACTACCTATAAAGTGCCTTAGGCCTCTACATTGCAAACTAGGAGAGATATTGTTCACATTATGTGCAATTCTAGAATGACATGTAAATAAAAATGACTCCTTAAATCCCAGATCCTAAACATTTTGCCTACTGTTTTGCTCTAGAACTTTAATATGGTTTCTAAATTTTAATTTCTAAATGTTATATGTGAACACGAATCTGTGCCTATGTATACTGGAGGGAGGGAAAGATTAAAAGTGTGCATACACAATATTCTAACTCAAAGACACTCCAACCTTATGACATCCTGCTTTGACTTCAATAGTGAAAATGGGAATTATGACCCTACTGAAAACAAGAATAGGTATTTCCAAAGACTGGGATAACTTGCCTTGGCCAATTTGCCATGGCCAACTCACCACAGCCAACTCACTATAGGACAACTTGCCATGCAGCAATTCAACTTAATTAATGTTAATTTTCAATTTAATTTTTTAAAATAATTTTAAAATTGTTTTTATTTTTGTCATTCCCATTTTGTTTTGTCCCTCCTTTAGTGTCCTGTCAACTGTCCCATTGGCATATGCAGCAAAAGAAACTCCAGGGACATTATTTTACCAAGAGTAGAACTTTACGGATAGATCCATACAAGCACAAAAGAAGCAAAGCTAGCTGTAAAGTTTTCGCGCAAGAAACAGCATAGTCAATTTCCCCTTTACACCATGGGGGCAACCTGTATGTCCATTGTCCACCAATCCAATATGTTATTTTTATTTTGGGGTAAACAGTCTGTGCCTTCAGAAGGTTCCCATCCCATGGCCTTGAAGTGGCAAGATTTTCTCAGCCTGCAAATGGATGAAATAAATTCCTTATGTCCCTCCCAGTTCCCAATTCATTCCAAGCATTCCCCTGCCCCTCCCTTCATTTATGTTGTGGAGTTTACGAGTCAGCCTCGACACATCCTTTCATTAATAATTCTATTTCACCCCTTCTTGTCCTGCAACAAGTTGTCCTGTAGTGGGTTGGCTATAGTGAGTTTGCCATGGTGAGTTGGCCATGCAGAATTGGCCATGATGAGTTGGCCATGGAGAGTTGGCCATGGTTACTTGGCCATGGTGAGTTGGCCATGGTGAGATGGCCATGGAGAGTTGGCCATAGTGAGTTGGCCATGGAGAGTTGGCCATAGTGAGTTGGCCATGCAGAGTTGGCCATGGTGAGATGGCCACGGTGAGATGGCCACAGCAAGTTGTACTAGATCTTTCCCGAGAGGTCAGATGGAATATTTCAATTGGGAGTCTCTCAATCTCTCTCTCTGTGTGTTGCAGGTATATATTTATGTATGTACTGAACATATTGTATATTATGTGTGAATTTGGGTAGATACACACTTTCTCTTGAGAGCAGGCAACATAATTTTATTTTTAATCTGGGCCAGTGCGCTCACAATAAAAATACGACAATAAACATTATCTATCTAAGCTATATGGGGCGAGGAAGCCCACAATCAGACTGTTAAATTAACATGAAATTGGAGAGGTTCAGAGCCCAATGTGCATGCTCTTATACCGTAATGATTATCATTTTAAAACTAGCTTTTTACCTTCGAGCTATCGAGGTAAAGATCTTCAAAGAAACTACTGCCGCAATCCACGAGGAGAAGAAGGGGGCCCTTGGTGTTTTACCAGCGATCCAGAAACACGCCACGAAGTCTGCAAGATCCCTCTCTGCTCGGAAGGTAATGCTCGGGCTGTTGGGATCACCAGGTCTCAGATTGGGCTGAAAACGGGTAACGGGGAAAACATTGCCAGAGGTTGGGTGTCATGAACGTTAGGTTAGTGGTTACTCCTCCCGTTCTGCTCTGGGTTTACTTTCCACAAGTGTACAACTCTGTATCACTTCGTGATTTTTTTTTAAAAAATTACATTGTAGAGTTGAATAATAGGTTTACACCAATAATAAGGAACAAACCTGTTGTGTTTGTTTTGCTTCTCCATTGTCTCTTCTGTAAGCAAAAGAGTGAGAACTCAGAGAAAGAAGGTTGGCAATAAAGCAATGGTATTTTGGAGCAGTGGGATATTCAAAATTGGGAGCTCTTTCCTCAAATGTATATAAAACCACCTTCACTCCCTCCCTTCCTTTCTTTCTTCCTCCCTCCCTCCTCCCCCCTTCCTTTCCTCTCTCCTTCCTTGTCTTTTCTACTTTGTCCCTCCTTCCTATTCCTTCCTTTCTCCCTCCCTCCCCTTTCCTCCCTCTTCCCTTCCTTGTCTTTTCTTCCTTGTCTCTCCTTCCCCTTCCTTCCTCCCTCGCTCCCTCTTCCCTTCCCTTCCTCTCCCCTTCCTTGTCTTTCTTGTCTCCCCTTCCCCTTCCTTCTTCCCTCCCTCCCTCCTCCCCCACTTCCTTCCCTGTGTCCTTCCTTGTCTTTTCTACCTTGTCTTTCCTTCCCATTCCTTCCTTCCTCTCTCCCCCTCCCCTTTCTTCCTTGTCTCTCCTTCCCCTTCCCCTTCTTCCCTCCCTTCCCCTTTCCTTCCCCCCCTCTCTCCTTCCTTGTCTTTTCTTCCTTGTCTCTCTTCCCCTTCCTTCTTTCCTTCCTCCCCCACTTCCCTCCCATTTCCTTTCCCTTCCCAATCATCTTAGTGAGATTGTTGTATTTTCTGCTTTTTAGTTGAGTGCATGACATGCAATGGCGAAGGCTACCGAGGTCCAATGGATCATACTGAAACGGGCAAAGAATGTCAACGTTGGGACCTTCAGAGACCACATAGACATCCTTTTCGTCCAGAGAAGTAAAAATGCTAATTCTTTTCCCAATTTTATACATCTGTAAAACAGAATGACATTTGACTTTTGGCACCTAGGCATTTTAGGAAATTAAAGCAGTACCAAAGAGCACAGACGAGGACGAATTCATCTTTATTATTTCTTTAGCTAAATATAGTTCCACAGACTGGTACCATTCTCCAAGTGAATTCTTTGTCAACTCATAAAATATTTCTGTGGTCTTTTTCAAGTTGCCAATAGAAAGGGAGGTGAGGGAAAGGGGTTTGAAAGAGTAGCGTGGCAGCTTGGAAAGCAAAAGTGCATTCCATAAATAGTTTTACAAAGATAGTAACTAGGTGACTGAAGTTTCTGCATGCAAAAGTCTAACTGGAAAGTATGATTGATGACTCTTGGCTATGGAGGTGTCCCATTGGGGAATATGAATTACGATACTCCCAGGGGATGGGGGAAAACCAGGGTCAAGGATGACAATGAATGATGTGTCTCAGAGTCGACTACACTCAGGCGGTTCCCCTCCCGATAAATCCTTTTGAAGTTTTGGAAATTTGGCTTGAGACTCATGATTTAATTGGGGGAACTGCCGGAATCCTGACATTCTTCCCAGTAAAGAATGAAAAGAGGAAATAATATATATATAGCAAATCTTACTTAGCTTCAACAGAATCTAAGAAGGATGCTTATGAAGCATCAATGAAGCTTTGTGGAAAATTCCCTATTAGGAAAGTTAAACGAACACTGATTGATAAACTGATCCAATAACTGGGACCAATAAAAATGTCCTTTGGGTTGGTTGAATGTTTAATGATGGACCTCTGAGAACAGCACTTAGACTAGACGAAAATACAGGTCCCAAATCAAGCTTGAAACCAGCTCTTTCAACCATACTAAGAGATGGACTTTCACCATGAGAGTAAATAGAAGGAGGAATTGGACCAGAAATATTGTTTTGTAAAGCTATCGATTAATTTTGTAAATATTCTCTCATAAAGGAGAATCTTTGTAGCTCAGGTTTGAAATGAGGGGTCCTTAGTGCTCTCTGAGCTTGTTGGTTTTCTCACAGATGATCCAACTAGGGAACATAATCAGTACTAGCATGATTAGTGACTAGCACTGATGATGTTACCTACTTGGGTTATGAAATGTCTGCAAGAAACCAACCAAGCCCTGAGAGCACTAAAGGACCCCTTGTTTTGTAAAGTTCTCTGAAAGTTCTGTCAGGGAGATGACTGGTGATGTCCCAATAATCTCTACATACATTTCCATCCATCAAAGATGAGCCCAAGCTAATGATCATCAACCCTTATAGTTATTTTATTAATTGATTCGTGTCATCTCATAAAGTCTATGAACTCCACCCCGTGCTAAATTTTACTTGATACCATTTTCTCTTAGAGAATTTGAGACAGGCACCTCCCGTACCTCCATCTTAAAAAAAGATTTTCAGTTAATATTAATTGTACACCAGAAAGAAATCTCTTTTAAGCTGGCATCCATGAAGAGCCTAATTAAAGGCAGGGAGGCAAATCATTATTCAGGTAGCTGGATTTTAATAAAATAAAGGGAAAGAGGGTATTCACAGACAGGTTCAGGATGGAGAATTTAAAAATAACTTGAAAGAAGCACTTTATCAGAAATACTGAAATAACTCTCATGATTAATGAGCTTTACTTTTTATGTAAATCTCTGTAGAAATAGTTGCGCTTTCATCTTGTCAAATGCTGGATTCTCCGCTTATGAAAGTTACAAGAAGTTCCGGCCAAATGGAATAATCTGTATTTATTTATTGATAACTCCCCCCCCACCTACTTCAAAAGCAGACTGGGTCATTAATGAAGGACACAGGTCCCTCTTCTACTTGCCATGAAGGCCAAAATGAGAGTCCGTAAGAGAATAGGAAGACTAGAGATTGGGGCTCCTTGGTGCTCTCTGAGCTTGGTTGTTTTCTGGCAGGTGTGTCTTGATCTAGCTGGGTAAGAACATCAGTTGTAGAAGGGAGTGAGGTTCATGGAGAGGAGAAGGAGAAAGGGGAGGAGGAGGAGACAGAACCACAAATGGAAGGAAGAAAAGGAGGAGGAGGAGACTGTGAGATCCTTAGTGCTCTCTGAGCTTGGTTGTTTGCTTGCAGATGTGTCAGCTTTGGAAGCCATAGTAGTTTCATGACCCATCTAGGTAACATCATCAGTTCTAGAAGGGAATGAGGTTTGTGGAGAGGAGAAGGAGGAGATAGAAGGAGAAGTGAAAGGAGAAGAGGAGGAAGGGGAGGAGTAGGAGGATGGCAACTGTGGTATCCTTGATGCCCTCTGAGCTTGGTTATTTTCTTGCAGATATTTCATTACCCAACTAGGTAACATCATCAGTGCTAGCACCCATCTGCACTGTTGATACTTCCTAGTATTTGGGTAATGAAACATCTGCAAGAAAACAACCAAGCTCAGAGGGCACCAAGGATCCCTCGGGGCAAAGAATTGTTTTTCTCTCGACCCCCCACGGCTGAGCAAGAATGACTTTTAGAAGGCTGATTAAAAAAAAAAAAACACCTTCCTATGAAAGCTTTGCTGTTGGACCACAAAGTCGATAAGTAGAATTTGCTGCATTAGATTAGGGAAGAATAATCTGCGGGAAGAGATTGGGGGGGTGGGAATATCACCGAGGACACAGCTGGGCAGGCGAAGCTGGGTTGTGTGTGGCAATTGGGCCCTCTTAAGTCTATTGGTGATGTCACTGGCATCTGCAGATTTGGATAAAAACAGCTGTTTTGGTTGCTTAAATGTTCTCGGAGAAAAGAATCATAGAGTCCTAGACCTGGAAGGGACCTTGGAGGTCTTCTAGTCCAACCTCCTGCTCAAGCAGGAGACTCCTATACCATTCCAGAAAAATGGCTGTCGAATCCCTTAGAAATTTCCGGTGATGCAGCACTCATAACATTTGTTGGCAAGCCGCTCCACAGAGTTCCAGTCAGAGGATGCCATCTCCTCCTGGTTTCTTTCCAAGGAAAAATAATCATATTGAGTCTCATCTCTTAAAAGGAAAAAGAATTCTGCACTGTGTGTGTGTGTGTGTGTGTGTGTGTGTGTGTGTGTGTGTGTGTATATTAAAGACCCTTGAGAATAAAAAGAACTTTCTCCAGTAGGCTAATTGTAAATTAGGTTTTAATCATCCGGTGAGGACCACATCAGTGGAAATTTTGAAAGGGCTCCAGTCAAAGATTGTTTAAATCCAATCAGACCTTCTCCTGCCAGCAGACCAGAAATAATAAACGTAAAACCAACAAATAAGGAGTTCTGAATGAATAATGGAAAGCTATTCATACAAGAATCTCACCACGGTCTTGTTAAGTCTGCCACCTCTTGATTTCCTTCACAAATAACCAGGGAAAGGATATCAAGAGTAATTAGAAGCAGGGTTCAAAAAAAAAAAAATAGCCCTGACAAGATACAGGAGGTCAAAGGGAAATTTAATTTCTTCTCAACTTGTTCCCTGCAGTGACTGGAAATGAGGGCATGACCTTGGAATAATGGCTGGCTCCTAAAAATAGAACCCGGCTTGTTGGAAATAGCTTTGAACCCAGGGCTGTTGAACTAAACGATCCCTTTGGCTTAATGAGTTTGCCATATCATGAAATGTTTACATTGCTCACACTTAATTGGGCCCTTGGATGGAAACCAATTAAGGCTATCGTGTCAGAATGGACCCTAATGGGGAGAAATGACCAATTAGCAGATTTGACCTCACCCCCAGATGGTCTACATCCTATGGAAGGAGGTCCTACTAGTCAAGATAGGATTTCTGTTGAGGGATCTCTTCATGAGCCATAAGCCTCCTGTCTCCCTGGTCATTCAATAGCTCACGTGTTTGGACACTTTCTCTGGGTTGGGGGATCATTGGGAGAGAAATGTATCTATTCTTCTCTGGGTTGGAGGTCATTGGGAGGGAATGTAACAATAGCAATAGCCCTTAGACTTATATACCGCTTTATAGTGCTTTTACAGCCCTCTCTAAGCAGTTTATAGAGTCAGCCTCTTAGCCCCAACAATTTGGGTCCTAATTTTACCCACCTTGGAAGGACAGAAGGCTGAGTCAACCTGGAGCCTGGTGGGATTTGAACAGCCGATAGTCAGCAGAAGTGGCCTGCAGCACAGCACTCTAACCACTGCACCACAGAGGCTCATTGTATCTATTCTTCTCTGGGCTGGAGGTCATTGAAGGGGGAATATATCTTGTATCTGCTTGTCTTCTCCTGGCAGCTGTCTCAGTTAACATGTTTGTTGGTGTGGTTTGCAGATACCCTGACAAAGGCTTTGATGATAACTATTGCCGAAATCCAGATGGTAAACCGAGGCCATGGTGTTACACCCTTGACCCAAACACCCCCTGGGAGTTTTGCTCAATTAAAACATGTGGTGAGTCCCCTTGCTTGAAAGTTTTTTTTTTTTTTTAACATCCAGTCCACTTCCTTGAAAGATTATTTTTTCCAAAGACCAGATGTCAGCAATGACAATGGGACAAGGACTATGCTGGATTGCAGGATGACTCAGGTTTAATTTTGTAAAGTCTTGTCTTCTATGATGTTGACATTGTATTGACGCTAAGGGTGACATGACGGCAGTCTTCCAGTTTTTGAGGGACTGCCACAAAGAAGAGGGGTTCCACTTATTTTCCAAAGCACCTGAAGGCAGGACAAGAAACAATGGATGGAAACTAATGCAGGAGAGAAGCTACTGCCGACCCTTTCTGACTGACAGGCTCCCTGTCTTAGCCACTTAGCCACCGCCTCCCTTTAAACTGCCTTTAAAAGCTTTCCCTAAAACCCTACATCGTAAGAGGGGTTTATAATAATGGTGAGCTGTTCCCAGTCTTCTGGGAAGGAGAAAAAAATCATTGATGGCTTCCAGGAATTCAGATACTTTTGAAATTTTAGCCTGACGACTAAAATATGTAAAAACCAGTTTCAAGTTTTGGGTTTGGCTAGTCTAGAGAAAAGAAGGACTAGGGGTGACATGATAGCAGGGTTCCAATATCTCAGGGGCTGCCCCAAAGAAGAGGCAGTCAAGCTATTCTCCAAAGCACCTGAAGGAAAGACAAGAAGCAATGGATGGAAACTAATCAAGGAGAGAAGCAACTTAGAACTAAGGAGAAATTTCCTGACACTTAGAACAATTAAATCAGTGGAACAGTTTTCCTGCAGAAGTTGTGGGTGCTCCATCATTGGAGGATTTTAAGAAGAGACTTGAAAACCACTTTTGTGGAATGGGTATAGGGTCTCCTGCTTGAGCAGGGGTTGGACTAGAAGACCTCCAAAGGTCCCTTCCAACTCTGTTATTTGGTTAAAATAGAACAAACCAGTATGCCAGATCCTCGATTCAGCTTTGTATCTATCCAACAAGTGCTGAATTTTTCTATGCCACCTATCAACAAGTTATGGAAGTATTAAAAAAAAAAATCTGAGAAGCAATTGTTACATACCTTGTCTAACAGGTGTTATTTTTATGCTAGCTGTTAACATGTAAACTGAAGTTGGAAGACTTCTCTTGGGAACACAAACACCTGCTACATTTCTAAGATGTCTGGATATGATGTACCTCAGTGTTTAACTTCTACACGATAACCGATCAAACTAAGAGCTTTTTTTAATGTGATACATATGAGTTTCAGCATGTGTTTTTATACCGTGATCCTGCAGTTGCCTCCATTTTTTTCTCTTTCAATGTTAATTCCTATAAGAGGCCTTATGAACAACCTGCATTATGAATAAATCCTTTTCTTATGACATGTCATTGTGCTTAGGAAGAACATGTTCGTTAATATTCGGTATTTGAGCAACTCATTCTTAAAGACCTTTGTTCTGGCTGACAGTGCAGCCAGCCAGATTTTTAGGCTACATTTGGTATGTTCATCCACCTATTGAGGCCTTCCCAAGGATTAGCAAAGGCAGATGGTGTTGTGCGATGGTATCTGCTGTTCTCAGACATTGCCATGTCCACTATCCACACTTTTATATGCTTTTGTATTTTCTAACATTTTCATATTTTATTGGCGGACAAGTATCCTGTAATTGTGGTGGCATATAAATTAGATCGGAGTTCCCCAACGATAGATAAATAGATGATAGATAGATAGATGATAGATAGACAGACAGACAGATAGATGATAGATAGATGAAAGAGAGGATAGATCGATAGATCGATAGAAGATAGATACATAGATAGATGATAGAGGAGAGAATAGATAGATGATAGACAAATAGATAGATGATAGATAGATGATATAGATAGATAGATAGATAGATAGATAGGTAGGTAGGTAGGTAGGTAGGTAGATGATAGATAGAGGAGAGAATAGATAGATGATAGACAAATAAGAATAAGAATATATATATTCTTAAGTTTTCGTGGGTACTTACATGTATGGTATTCAGCTTTGTTTGGGTATTTTCCCATGTCATTATAGTTGTGCTTTTAAAGTTGTAGCAACGTTTCGGCAGAATCTCATCTGCCATCATCAGGCTTCTGTATAGTGTTCGTCTGTGAGTCAGACTTTTACAGTTGTTTCAGTTTTAAATTTGGGGCTAGCCTACTGCTGTGCCAGAATGGTTTTTTCTTCATCCTGATTGGTTGGCAGTCTTGGTCTGTGTTTATCGGTCTTGGAGTTTGCTGTGTTCTGCTTGACTGGTGTTTCTAATATCTTCTGTCTGTTTTGTGGCTTTTTTTGTCTTGGTTGGCTGGCAACATTGTGTTCCTGTATTGGAGGCTTTTAGTGCAGCTTGGCTCCAAGTAAATGGGTGGCTATCATTTGTTAGGAAGCTAGGTTTCATCTGGGTGCCTGGTTAGGGTGTGTTTGAGCTGGAGGCACAAACAGATCCCCTCTGATACCTCCAGCTCAAACACACCCCAACCAGGCACCCAGGTGAAACCTAGCTTCCTAATAAGTGTTGGACCTGATGATTCTTGACTCTTGACAAATGTATCTTTTCTATTATGTACACCGAGAGCATTTGCACCAAGACAAATTCCTATTCTATTCTACTCTACTCTACTCTACTCTACTCTACTCTACTCAACACATGTTGAATCACATGGGTGCTGGAAGAATAGAACTTTGTTCAATTAATAAGCCTTGTTAATTTATTGTTAAAATGATTTTGGGGAATGAACCTTCCAGATAACTAGCAGCAAAATGGAATCTATTAAAAGTCCAGCAGCAGAATCAATGTTAAAAGAGCAAGCAGTTTCAGTAGCAACAAGGAGAGCAACCCAACCAGGTCTATTGCAGGAAACAGATGATATAGACAGGAACATCCATGGGAGCGGGGAGTCAAAAAAGTCAAAATGGAAGCCTTCATTATGTCATTGGAGCCCTGTTTCATACACGAGAAAAAGGAGCAGGCTTTGATTACAGACTTTCAAATGTTTGAAAAAGTTTTGAAAGAAAAGAAGAAGAAATTTGTAGATACTTTGCAAAGTTCATTTCTGGACTCTGTGAGCAAGGAGTCTTTAAAATCAAAAGTTGCATGCAAATTTCCTCTCAGTGTGGCAGCATTAACAATAAAAGTAAAAGATGTAGGAGAAGAAAAAAGGAGGAGGAGAGGAGGAGGAGGAGAAGGAAGAAGAAGAAGAGGAAGAGGAAAAAGGAAGAAGGAAGAAGGAGAAATAATCATGGTGGTAGAGAAGGAGGAAGAGGAAGAGAAGGAAAAGAAAGAAAGAAGGAGACATTTAAAACTCCAGAAAAATAGATTTCACCTAAAAGTATGTTGATCTTGTAAACTCTTGAGAATCAAGGTGGAATTATTTTTTATTCCTCCTTTTGCAGACTGAGTTGGGAATTCAGAAGCTTTAAGCACACAGATCATTCTTCACCATGAACTCTCCTTAGGAAATGAGGCTGAACAATCTTGGCAGGAAATTATGCAAAACCACCGTGATAAAGCATTTGGGGAAAGATAAAACTGAGCCTCAGGAAAGCATCAATATGGCGCAAAGTGACTTGATACATGTGAGAGGAGCCAGTGCGCTTCCTTAACATAGCAATAGGAGGCTGCAATCCTTCTCTGTAGCAAGATTTGGTTTTTATTGTATTCCACACACCCCCTCCCATTGATGGCTGTGTGTAAAGTATATTCTGGTCACCACACTATTAAAAAAGATGTTGAGACTCTAGAAAGAGTGCAGAGAAGAGCAACAATAATGACAAGGGGACTGGAGGCTAAAACATACAATGAATGGTTGCAGAAACTGCGCATGGCTAGTCTACTGAAGAGAAGGACTTGGGATGACATGATGGCTGTCTTCCAGTATTTGAGGGGCTGCCACAAAGAAGGAGACAAGCTATTCTCCAAAGCATCCGAGGGCAGGACAAGAAACTGTAGCAGGTTTTCTGCTCATTCCTTACTTTCAACTACTTCCAGGGATGGGCTTCAAAAATGTTAGCAAAGACTTCTCTGCCCAGTTGATGGATGGGTGTGGCCATGATGGGTGTGGCCTAGTTGGCCTCCTGCACCACAGCGGGTGGTGTTTTTTTCCCTCCCTGGGTTCCGGAGGCTTTCCTTAAGACTCTGGAAGGGTGAAAATGGCCTCCCCGGACTCTGGAGGTTCTCTAGAAGCTGGAAACAGGCCCATTTCCAGCCTTCCCAAACTTCCGGCAGGCCCATTTTTCGCCCTCCCCAAGCCTCCGCGCACGCCCAGTATTGCATACAAAATGGCCGCATGGGGAGTCCTGGGAGGGGCGGGGAGTGATGGGCGGGGCCAGCCAGGAGTGGGATTGGGGGTTCTCCAAACTGCACAGAACCTTAGCTAGGGGCTCTCCTGAACCCCTGCAAACCCCCAGCATCCCATCCCTGACTACTTCATTCTAATTATATATTATTAAGGCTTACTCTGATATTTATATATGCAGAGCCTTTGGTTCTATCAATATTTTAAATGATCAGTGACGTTTCAGCTGTGAGAAACTGCAGCTAAGGCCTATTTGAGGAACACTTCTCTTTCTAAGTCTCATTTTCAAGGATTCCCTGATAAACCTTGTCTAAGACTGACTACAGCATGCTCCAAAAAGATCTTTACTCCAGGAAATTGGCTGCTTCTTCCAAAGAAACTGCTCTGCGGAGAATTTTTGATATCTGATCTTGCAGAAGCTGGGCCATTCTTCCACGCGCATAAATAGTAGCTTAATCACTCTTTCGGAATATTAATTTCAAGGAGTTCTTTGATTAGTTATTTCCATATGACACAGATCCAAGTTTTGCAGTTACCCAAACAGGAATTCAGGACTTTAATTTTGCACAGTCTATTTCTTTCAACTCAAGGGAGAGAGAAAAGCTTAGTATGTTTGCTTTGTGTTGGATTGAGGTTATGGTCACAAATGTTACTCCTTAAGGATTCCTTTGCTTCACATGTAAATGCTGATCAGTGTGGCCAGTTAAACATTTGGGACTGATTATTCTCAAACAACGCTCTTAATTCCATTAACTTCCTACATTTGGAGTCCTTAATCCCCCAAAACACAAACAGGGTCCTCATAGAAAGTGTCATGCCCCTGTCGGAGCCTGAATCCATGGAGGAGGATGAGTAGGAGTTGGGCCAGATGGAGGTCAATGGGGCAACCTCATTGCCTTCCAAGGAAAGCGGGAAGGGGCAGTATGAGGCAGCCCTGGGCTCCTCTGGCTTGGGATGGCTTGCCAGAAGAGAGGAACGGGGGCAGGATGACTGAGAGAGGGCAGGCAGTGGAAATGAGAAGGGAAGGAGCTCAGGCAATGAGCAAGGACCATCCCCTCCTGATCCCCGAGCAAGGAGAATGGAGAGAAGGCGGGAACGGTGCAGGCCAACCTGACAACTTGGGAGGAGAGCTCCCTACCCCTCTTCACAAGGCACATCTGAGGACTTAAGGAGACACTGTGGGGAGAGCCATTTGTTGGGAACAAATGCTGAATTTGTGGAGTTTTGTGTGCCATTGCTGATATCTAGCCTTTTCCCTTGCTTAATGGACTCATTGCTTCTTCCTTGCTTCGTGGATTCATTTCCTTGTTCTCTTGCCCTGCTGGACTTCCTGCCTTGAAGCTGTTGTTCTAACAGCATTTTGCTGGACTACTTACAGCCAGCAGCTGCTGTGCAGGTGTATCTTTGTGCACTTTGCTCTGGGACTTGCATAATGTGGGAGTGCTTGGGGGAAAGTTAGAGCATTAAAGGGGAGTTTGAACTCTGAGCTGGCTGTGTGGCTTTCATGCCTTGTCCTGGGTCATCACAGAAACTTAAAACAGAGAGTTGAGAATTGTTTCTTTGAGATGACCACCTACTGTCAACTCATAAAGCATTCCTATGCCTGTTTCTGAGTTGCCATAAGAAGGAGGGGGGGAAAGGCCTGAGGGAGCAGTGCGGCAGATGAAAGCCAGAAGCACATTCCATGCTTAACTTGTGGAGATTGTGGC